GTGACCCAGAGCAAGTAAGACCAGAACTCTTTCGCTGTAAAGACAGAAGAGGATACTTAAAACATTTTACATGATCGTGAAAACTTTTAACATAGCTTGTGCAGGCTGCTTGAGAGAAATCAAAGACTAAGGTCTTTGTTATAATAATGACTATGTTAGATATAATAATGACTATGTTAGAATAATGACTGAGGTTATACTCACTGAAGTAAAGCTCACTGAAATTGAGAAAGTTAAAGAACTAAGAGCATACAACATTAGCTATCAGTTATTAAGAAAAGTATTTTAGGATGTAATTTAGAAAGAAATATTATGAAGAAAGAACTTTGAAGATGTTATAGAAGCATCCTGGGGGATAGTAGATGACATCTATAAAAGAGAGGGCAAAAAATGGTACAACTAGCAGGTGGGGAATTCAAACAAAATGTGTTTGCTAATGAGCTTCAATTAAGTTAATTGGTCACAAAGAGAGAAACCGGCACAGTTGTGATCACAATGCATAAAGACTATTGTGAATAATAATGGCTGCACAGATATAAAGTTTCTAATCATGGTCTTGTATGGAGGGCTCATGATATTTCTGGTCAAATGTTTAGTTTAAAGAAGCACTTTAATTCATTTTTCATAGTAGCTCTATTTGCTAAAGAATGAACAGCAAGTGTCACTGCAGCTTTTTCAATAGCTATGCACAGTCTATTTCATGGCTATAAAAGTTGTGAATTGAAGAAAAATTATGACCTCTCTACATTAGCTTCCATCAGACAAATAGAGGCAAAGGATATATAATAGTCAAATTCGCTAAAAAACATTTCCTAAACATTTAATACTTATTTTTTAATGAAAAAACTGTGAAACCAGGCCAGATAGCAAAATTACTGAGGAGGGTATTATAGGATGTAAATAAAAAATACTGTGAATAAAAAACTTAGAAGATGGTCTGAAATGATAGTGCTTCCATAATTAGATTATTTACACATTTGTTTTAAAATTATATCTCCCCTCACCAAAAATAGATATCAGAGCTACTAAGGAAATATATACACTAAAACAAATTAAACAAACAGATAACTGGGAAAGAGATAACTCAGATTTTGGCTCTAAACTTCCTGACAGGGAAAAAAGTGAACCTAGTAAGTTAATGATGAGAAAACATAAAAGCACTCTATTTCTGTAGAAGAAACACATTTTTTTTTCATTACATACTAAAAGAGGGTTCCGAATGAGATCATTTATAGTTGACATTCACTAGCCTAGTGGACAATGTTCCTGGCAAAATTTCTCAAAAAATAGCATGAGATTAATTCTCAAACAAATATGGTCAAATAAATAATATTAAAAGGCAAGTTAATAGGTAATTTTTCAAGAGATTGAGTTTATGGAATTCAAATATCTAGGCTGCTTGATCTGAATAAAGAACTTAGAAAATGGTCTGAAAATGAGGTACAAAATTTGAGGTACATGAGGCAGAATGGATTCAAAGTCTTTGACTATATCCTCCAAATATTTTCACTTAAGTTTTACAAAAATACATCTAAACATGTGCAGCCTGGTGAAAGATTCTCTAAACAATGCAAGCTCAGAAAATAAAAAGAGGAATCATATCTATAACACAAGTGATACTTGGGTATGGGCCAACCCCACCTTGTTCATAAGGTTTTGCTTTTATTGTTTAATCTATCATAGGTGCTCTTGAATTTAAGATCAGGACACTTTGGAGCAATACATTTCTTTTCTGGAACAATCAACAAATAGTCTTTAGAAAATTAACTGAAGTAACTTGAGTGTCAAAGCTGCATAACAGAATCAATAATGATTTGATATATTTGTCTAAGGATTAATATAACGGCTACCTAACTCAATGGTTCTTAATATCTATTAAAAACTAAGATAGTATTCTGTATCAAACTTCTTGGATTTACTTTTCATAAAACATATCCTTTTATATTCAACACTGAAGAACTTATGCTTTGAGATCACTGGAAACAATGAATTAGCGAAAATGTATAGAAAAGTATAATAATGTTTTTTAACTTCATGCATTATAGAGACTGTTTGGTACAATGACATAGAGATTTTCACTACTTAAGCTATTAAGACCTTTGGGGTCTTAATGATGTCAATGAAATAAAAATGCATAAATACATACTCTAATATTTGTATGCATTCAGAGAAGTCAATGAAAATTACTTGTGCTCTGAATTCTTGAAGGATAAAAGAAGTGAAAGTAAAAGTTGCTCAGTCATGTCTGAGTCTTTGTGACTCCATGGACTAAAGCCCATCAGTTTCCTCTGCCATGGAATTCTCCAGGCAAGAGTACTGGAGTGGGTAGCCATTCCCTTCTCCAGGGGATCTTCCCAACCCAGGAATCGAACTTGGGTCTCCTGCATTGCAGGAGGATTCTTTACCATCTGAGCCACCAGGGAAGCCTCAGCTTAAGGGATAGTGTAGTGTAGATTAATTAAAAATGAATATATTTTTGTACTAACAGCAGCAGAAAATTAGAGTGAAAGTCACATTCTAAGTATAATACTAATACAAGGGCTAAGTCACTTCCATTGTGTCTGACTCTTAGTGAACCCATGGACTGTAGCCTGCTAGGCTCCTCTGTGTCTATGGGATTCTTCAGGCAAGAATACTGGAGTGAATTGCCATTTCCTCCTCCAGGGGATCTTCCTGACCCAGGGATTGAACCTGAATCTCTTATGTCTCCTGCAATGGCAGATGTGTTCTTTACCATTAGTGCCACCTAGGAAGCCCTTTATACTAATATAAGTTGTGATATACCATTTCTATGGGAATATCTCTTTGAATTTCTGAATCAAAGTCAGGAATGAACTATGTAATTCAATATTTTGTATTTTGCTTTACTTATACAGTCTGTTGCCTTAGAAACCGTAAGTAACTGGATGAGCTAAGCTTGCTGAATGTCAGTTTCATACATTCATTTTATAATACAGAATCCCCTATCAAATAGTCCTACAACTTTCCAATTATTCTCTATAAATATATTAAAGTTGTCTTTAGGTTGCTTTGTTGACTTATTAAAGTACTACAAAATAATTTGCATGTAAAAATAATCATATATTAAAAATGATACATATTTTCTCCATGTCTTCATACAGCGAAAATAATGATAGCATCTTCAAATGTTTCCATTTTTAAATTATTATATATATTTATTAATGTACAGTATTTAGTTGTAATTACTATCTGCCCTAGTCATGCCTTTCCTATTTGTTCCAGGCAAGGATGAGTGTTCAAAATGATGACATACTCCATGACAATAAAGTCATATGTAAAGCACATCAAAATTCTGGTGTTAAATAGATGGCAAATTTAATATTTAATTTCAGTAGTACACTATTGAATAATGTATTTTTTAAAAATAGCCTAAACTACTACATCAATTTTCATCTGTGTTTTTCATTTATTTAAAGTAAGCCTTGTATTTTTACTTAAGCACTTCACTTCCTACAACTGTAACCTCAAAGAATCATGATTAGGAAACATGCCAAATTTGTTTCACAAGTCAGGCATCTTGTATTTCTCATTACTTTTTATGATGTTATGCACATTATATGTTATACATATATGGATAAATGAACAAAGAGATGAACAATTGAAAATTGTTAAAAATAAATACAATAGTATTTCTTTATAATGTTTTCCTTCATGATTAGTTTTCAAACCTACGTGATTTTATATTAACTTTTTTGTCCTTCTCTATGCATAGCACAAAGCTTAAAACACACAGGTGTTCATATTTGGTAAATAAAGACAGCTAATAAAAAGCCAGTGACTATTTCAAATACACCTTATAGAAATTAAGAATTCTGCATGACAAGCTGAAGTAATGTGCCTGGGTTACGCAGCACCATAGTTCTGGTGGACCTGGAACTCCAGACCACGCTCTCTGGGGACCAAGCCTTGTGTTAGCGACCATCTTGACAGACTACCTCTCTATAAGAAACGGTCGTTTTCCTTTTAAAATTTCAAAGATATTTTCATAAGTCATTGTAGAAAAATGGATAATAAGGGATTTTATTACTTGTCATTCATTTCTATCTGAAAAGCTCTCTCTCATATATGATACTCTGAAACCTCTCCTATATCTATACCAACTCCTGCTCCATGATACCTAATGAATTAGAGGCACTGATCACAAATACAAAGAGTCTTGGCTTTCACAGAGGTTTCTCAAAGGTACAAATAAAATAGTTTCAGAAAATTTCCAGTACTTGTCCCCTCAAGTACATAAGAATATTAAGAAATTTTAAAAATATATTGTAAAAAGTACTTCCTAGGTACAACAACTCAATCAAACTGAGGTAGAATAAAGTTCCAAAATCACTGATATTTAATTTCCAGCCATAAATATCTAAGATTGGCATATCATCATCCATCTATTAAGCCAAGCTGAATCTAAAAGCCCATGTTAACCATCCACAAGACAAACACACAAATATACTGAGTACACAAAAGCCTTATTTTTCACATAAGGCGTTTCATTCCCTGACCTTTGTTTTCAAGGCCTGCAATTTGTAAACTGTTGGTATGAAAACGGTACTACTTAGATGGATCCATTCATTTCCTTTTGTTCCAGAGAAAACCATTCTCATATGCCATCTAAAGCATCAATTGGTGCTTCAGTTCAAGACTTGATTAACCTTAGATCTGCTTCAGCAGTAACAGAAAGGAAACACACAAGAATGGGATGCTGATTCTTGCCGGTGTTCACTCATGTGACCCTCCTTTTCTAGGACATGGTACCACTCGGGCCTGTGAGCACCACTCACAAGGTATTCCTTATTGAATCAACAGAGGGGATAAATACTTCAGGAAGATGAATAGGAGCAAAAACAAACGAGCAAACAAAAACCCCTTGGACCTGACGTTATGGAAAAAATTAAAAAGACACTAAGATGAAAAAAAAAATCGTGTCATGGTTTACATGTGGGATTTGGATGGAATCTAGGGCTGTGTTTTAATTCAAAACTCACCATCTCAAAACCACTTCTTTTCATCCGCCTGCAGGACTTGAGGTAAGTACGTATGCGTTTTCGGGCACGCTCTTGATATTCAGGGAATTGTCGCCTGCATGAGTCAATGATAGCCTGGATCTTTTCTTTGGGCTGCTTAGAGATTGGGACCATTCGGTCCAAGTTTTCATCTACAAACAGCCTGACAAACATCTGTTGGCAAGAGGGAGACAGAGGAGAAGGGTTTGGAGGGCTGCTCTCTGCTGTTCCTAGCTTCCTGTCTTGATTACCGATAGGAAAATACTCTTTTCTGGTATATGCACTGGAGAACTTTGCAATGGAAAGCCAGAAATTTTAAGCAAACACCCTTTAAAGACTTTCTAAATGGTTGGATTAAAAAAATAGAGAGAGAAAAAGAGAGAGAGGCAGACAGACAGACAGACAGAGACAGAAAAATATAGACTATCGCGTAGAAAAAAATCAAGAAATAACAGTAGACTGTGACAATTAAGCACCCCGTAAATTCTCTATTAATAATAAAAATGACTGTTACATTGCTACACTGCACAGTATACTAATCTCAGAAAACAAACAACAGATTCTTTTGTCATGCATAATTAGGTAAGCTGGGAAAGCAAAAAACAAAACAAAACAAAAAAAAAAACAAAAAATAACGGATGACGGGCAGGCTCTTCCGGGGCATAAGCTGAGGCCCCCTTCATCCGCTAGGTAAACATGCATACTCACACAACACAACTGCAGTTTTCAGCTCACATTTGGCTTTAAAATTCTAAACAAAACACAGCAATTCTGGTGACTGGTTGGCAAAGAGTGTTTCATGTACTTTTTAAATCCTTCTGTAAATTAAACAAACATGTCTCTAAAATATCCACATTTACCAACAAGCAACAACATGAAAGTGAAGGGCTAAAAATCCAGCCACACGGGGCGGGTGGCAAGACTCACATTAAAAGCTTTTAGCCGCTCAGCCTCCACGCCATCTGTCTCGTTAGCTTTCTCAGAATCTTCGTGGTCATCGTGGTCATCTTCATCCTCATCTCCCCTGTTTAGAGACAGATCCTCAGCACCCCGATCCACACTCTCATTTTTGCCCGAGTCGTAGCTTGAATAGCTATGCGCAGGGGACTGAAAAGAAAAGAAGAAATTGTTGCTTTGAAATTCCTTGCACGAGCTAATAAATTTGGTTTTGCTTTTAATGTCAACCGTTTCTCATAACTTCAGCTTAAATAAGCTGATAATTCTAGAGCTGTGGCTATTCTCACTTAAATCAAAATTAACTTAAATGAAATCAAATTAAAACTGCATTTCCTCGGTCACACCATTCACATGGCAAGTGCTCAAAAGCCACATAGAACATTTCTGTCACTGCAGAAAGATTTATTGAATTTAGCTTTCTGAGAGCAATTACTGTTTCCATTCAGTATATATATCGCAGAACAAAAAACAACCTACAATCAGTTTTGTAAAGGAATCAATGAATCACATATTCTTGGAACAGAGATGACACCAGAGCTTAGCCCATCTAACTGCATTAGTATTCTTGAAACAGATCAGGGAACTGAGGGGTAGGTGTATTTCACTGATTTGCCCAACAAGGACTATACAAAATATTGATGCTAGGACTGCTAGGACAACATGTCTTCAGGTCACTTTATCATTTGTCTATGAGTCTGGGATCTGATTTTGGTTTAGAAAAAAGTAACTAAGTTTCCTTCTAATCATTTGTCAAGCTTAGAGCTTCATAATGTACTAATGAGGCCAACCGAGACAATTTTCACAAACGTAGATAATTGTGTCCAAGACCAACTATGGATCCTGTTGTGATATCCTTTACTTCCTTGTTAGCTGATCTGTTCCAATCCTGTGGGCAACCTTTTCTACCCTAGGTATCACTGCTTTAAACCTTCAGCTCCAGATGAAGAAAGTGTGCCTGTAACTAAAATCAACTTGAATCTAGCAGAGCTAAGAAGAATAGAAACAATCCTGGGAAATAATTTGAGCATCTAGATTCAACTGTGCCTGAAATGAAATGAACTCATGGATCTTTCCAGCTGTGTGATATTATACCCTTTCAACCTCCCCTTTATATTTTTGCTTAAATCTGAGTTTCAATCATTTGCAGTAGAGCTTGAAGTAGTACAGAAATCAGTCATTACCGGGTCAGATTAACAACCCCAAGTTTCACATATGATAACTTAGATACCCGGGTCACCCCAGGTAGTATGTATGATTTCTGTAAATAACAGAAAATATTCTGAAATCTAACAACAAAGTCAAATACTTTTGAAAGATCTTTACAATGGGAAATTTTAAATCATTAGCATTCAAAACTGCCTCCACGCAAAGACAGCATATGTGTTGAATGATTTAAGGACTGCACTACTTTATTATTACCATAAAATCAGAGAGAGAACAAAACTAAAATAGATCACTGACATTAAAAGTGGAGTTACAATTTAAAATAAAGCCTATTTTTATAGTTCAGATGATGAACAAGGTAGAATCATCTAATCAAATATAAGGCAAATATTCCATAGGTTTGAAAAATATACCATACATGCTTTTTAAATGGTAATATTTTTAAAGTGTTATAATACACTTATCTGAATACAAATACGCTGGGCTAATTTATTCTTTCTAGATATGATGTGAGACACACAAGCTAGCAGTCTACTACAAATAGTACCACTTAGAACCATGAAGTATGTTCATGGATAGCCCTAGGCAGTCAAGGTAAAGAAAACCCATCTTAGACCTGAGAATATTCAGGATCTAAACCGAGAACATAATCAATGTTGTTGTTTTTATTTCATCTACAAAATAAACTAAAATTTTTGTAACTCTGAATTCTGTTTTGCAGATCGTATGTCATTTCTTGCCTGTCTCACTGTTGAAGATCTAAAAGCTTTCAAGACCAACTGGATTTCCAGAGATTCCCACTTCAACCTCAGTCCATTTGAGTCTTTCCCTTCACTGTAAACTCTTAATATTCAACGGCTTTTGACACTGATTTAAATACCGCCATTGTGCTGTACTTTCTTTACACGTTAATATTCATTTTTTCCTTCAAGCTAGACTGAGACGGGAATCAAGACATATCCTACGTTTTCCTCACAGCATCTAAGAAAGGTTCTCTACAGAGTTGGCACTTAAGGTAGTTTTCCTTTTTCTGCAAAGTCTTTGGTCTTAAAACATGGGGGAGTGAAGACAAGCCATAGACGGAAAGAAAATATTTGCCAATGGCACATCTGAGAAAAGGACAGTTATCCAAAACATACAAAGAACACTAAAAACTAAACAATAAGAAAACAACTTGATTAAAATATTGGCCAGTAACACCTCACCCAAGAAGATATACAGATGGCAAATAGGCACGTGAAAAGATGCTTCACATGATATGCATTGGGGAAATGCAAACTGAAGCAACATTGGGATATCACTACACACGTATAAAAATGGTCAAAATTCTGGAACACTGACAACACTAAATGCTGGAGAGGATGTGGAACCACAAGTCCCATGCATTGCTGGTAGGATGCAAAATGATACCACAGCTTTGGAAGATAGTTTTGCTTTTACTTTTGAAACTAAACATATTCACCATGTGATTCAGCAATTGTGCTCCTTGGTATTTACCCAAGGAACTAAAATTTGTGTCTACACAAAACTTGCACAATAATGTTTCAAACAGCTTTATTCATAATTGCCAAAACCTGGAAACAACCAACATGTGCTTCAATGAGTGAATGGATAAACTGTGGTTGATCCAGATAATGAAATGATATTTAATACTAAAAGAAATGAGCTATCCAGCCACAAAAAGACACAGAGGAACCTTAAATACATATTAATACATACTAGCACCACCTAGGGGTCACACTTACTGCTAGTGGTAAAGAAACTGCTGGCCAATGCAGGAGACATAAAAGACATGAGTCTGATCTCTGAGTTGAGAAGATCCCCTGGAGGAGGGTGTGGCAACCCATTCCAGTATTCTTGCCTGGAGAATTCCATGGACAGAGGAGCCTGACAGGCTCCATAGGATCATATAGAGTCAGACATAACTGAAGCACAAGTGAAAGAAACCAATGGAAAAGACTATATATTGTATGATTTCAACTATATGACATCCTAGAAAAGGCAAAACAAGAGACAATTAAAAAAAAAAAAGAACAGTACTTGCCATGGTTTAGGGGATGGAGAGGGATGAATAGATAAAGCAAAGATTTTTAGGGCCATGAAAATACTTTTATGATACTATAGTAGTGGATACAAGCCATTCTACATTTGTACAAATGAAAGGAATGTACACTACCATAAGTGAACCTTAATATAAACTATGGACTTTGGATAATTATAATTCGCCAGTGTAGGTTCATCAATTGGATAAATAATGTGTGCTGCTCTGGTAAGTAAATGCCGGTAACAGGGAAAATAAGCACATGGAGAGGGAAGTGGGAATATGGGAAATCTCTGTACCTTCCACTCAGTTTTACTGTGAATCTAAAACTGCTCTAAAAATAGTCCTTTTTAACAAATGGGAGAATATGGGTACTGGGGTGATAATACAAAAATTATTATAGGCCTTCTAATAACCCACATAAAATATAGCAGTCATTGCCCCATAAACCTGTATCATGTCAATAAAAACTCTACATGATCATTCGCTAAGCAAATCTCCAGTTTAGGAATAATCAGTTTCATTTTCCATGTGTAAATCCAAAAAATCCAAATTAGATCTTAAAAAATACAAAGATATGAAGAAGCACAACTTAGGCCTGATGGAAGAGACACACCTGCTTATCCACAAAACACAGGTGTTGGTTTATGGGGACAAGATTAGATTTTTGTCTTAATTGCATATTTCATTCATTATCTTGAGATAACACATGACCATCCTTCTTGAAAATACATTTACACTTTCCTTTTCTCACATTTTTGCACCCAGATAGAACTGCCAATTCTAGACCTAGAAAAATCCCCACAGAGAGGAAGATTAACTTCATTTTTAAGGAAAGTTTGCTTACTCTGTGTTCAGAGCACTTTTTATCTTTTACTTAATATTTATTTTATTTAATGATATTTTACTCTTTTTGATGCAATTGTAGATAGGATTGTGTTAGTTTATCATTCTGAGAGTTTATTATTGATGTATAGAAATGCCACAGATTTCTGTATATTGATTTTGTATGCTGCAACTTCACTGTATTCAGCAAGTTACATTTAAAAATATCAGTTACTCATTACTGAATCTACTAGGCATTCTTAGCATCATTAAAAGTGTGATTACCAGACAATATGTGCCTTCTGATGTGATGCAAAATGAAGAATTTGTTCTTGTGTATTAGTCACTCAGTCAAGTCTGACTTTTTGTGACCCCATGGACTGTAACCCCCAAGCTCCTCTGTCCATGGTATTTTTCAGGCCAGGAATACAGGAGTGGGTTGCCATTTCCTCCTCCAGGGGATCTCCCCAACCCAGGGATTGAACTCACATCTCCTGCCTTGGCACATAGATGCTTACCATTGAGGGCCCTGGGGAACCCCAAAGGAAACACACATAATTAAGAAAACAAGCTTATGAAAATAAAACAAGAATTTGAATAGAATCTAACCTTAGTCTAGAATGGTGATTCTCAAAGTGTGCCTGTTAGGTCAGCACTAATTGCATCCCCTGGGAACTGATCAGAAATGCACAATATTTGTCCCATCCCAGATCACCTGATCAGACACTTTGGGGCTAGACCCAAAATCTGTGTTTAATTAATAAAATGCCTTCAAAGGGGATTCTGTTGTAGCTCAAGTTTGAGAACGACTTGTCTGAAGTTGGGCTTCCCTTGCAGTTTAGTTGGTAAAGAAGCTGCCTGGAGTGCAAGAGTCCCACGTTCGATTCCTGGGTTGGGAAGATCCCCTGCAGAAGGAAAAAGCAACCCACTCCAGTATTATTGCCTGGGAAATCTCATAGACAGAGGAACCTGGCAGGCTAAGTCCCTGGAGTTGCAAGGGGTCAGACATGACTTAGCGACTAAACCACCACAGTTTGAAACTAACTTCTAATAAGACAATAATAGTAAGACATAAGACACAAGAAAAAGCAGACTGGTAAATCCAAAATGTGAAACATTGTACAGAACAACTGACTTTGGTTTAGCAATATCTTAGTGACACAGGGAAAAAAGTGACATATTAGAGGGACTCAAAAGGTTTGATAAAGTGAAAGGTGTTGAACTTGCTTGTATTGTGATTCAAATAAACCTAATGCAAAAAGACAATTTTGAGAAAATTGTGAATGTTTGACTATGGATGAGATTAGATGATTACATTGCATACTTTTTGTTAAATGTGATGACCTAACATCTGGTTAAGTAAATATTTATCTAAGAAAAGGGGCTTCCCAGATGGTTCAACGGTAAAGAATCCACACACAGTTTCGATCCTTGGGTTCAGAAGGTCTCCTGGAGGAGGACACAGCAACTTACTCCAGTATTCGTGCCTGGAAAATCCCATGGGCAGAGGAGCCCAGAAGACAGTCCAGAGAGTGGCAGAGTCGGACATAACTGAGCACACATGTACCTGGGGGAATGTCCACATTTGTTAGAGGCAGAAAGGGATGAAATGACACGGACATCTGGGATCTGCTTTTAAATACTGCAGGAAAAAATTTAAAAAAGTAAAAAAAAAAAAATCGTAAGCACTGAATTTAGGTGATAAATATTAGTAGTTCTACTTATCAGTTCAGTCTCTCAGTCGTGTCCAACTCTTTGCGACCCCATGGACCGCAGCACGCCAGGCCTCCCTGTCCATCACCAACTCCTGGAGTCCACCCAAACTCATGTCCATCAAGTCAGTGATGCCACCCAGCCATCTCATTCTCTGTCGTCTCCTTCTCCTCCTGCCCTCAACCTTTCCCAGCATCAGGGTCTTTTCAAATGAGTCAGCTCTTTGCATCAGGTGGCCAAAGTATTGGTTTCAGCTTCATCATCAGTCCTTCCAATGAAATTCAGGACTGATTTCCTTTAGGATGGACTGATTTGATCTTGCAGTCCAAGGGACTCTCAAGAGTCTTCTCCAACACCACAGTTCAAAAGCATCAATTCTTCGGCACTCAGCTTTCTTTATAATACAAGTCTCACATCCATACATGACTACTGGGAAAACCATAGTCTTGACTAGATGGACCTTTGTTGATAAAGTAATGTCTCTGCATTTTAATATGCTGTCTAGATTGGTCATAACTTTCCTTCCAAGGAGTAAGTGTCTTTTAATTTCATGGCTGCAATCACCATCTGCAGTGATTTTGGAGCCCCCCAAGATAAAGTCAGCCACTGTTTCCCCATCTATTTGCCATGAAGTGACAGGACCGGATAGGGTGGCCAAAAAGTTCATTTGAGTTTTCCCATGGCATCGTATGGAAAAATCCGAATGAACTTTTGGCCAACTCAATATTATAGTCTTTATTTTTAAAGAATTTTATACTTTCAAAATGAATATTAAATGTAACAAATTTTAAATTATTTTATATCTCCTCTATTTTGAATATGTTTAGGTGACAATCATTTGTTCAACATTTAAAGAAGCACTGCTTAATATATAGAGAGTTGTTTTGGGATTGAATAGATCCAAGTTTTTTGAGTTTCAGTTATATTTTCAGTATAACTGAAAGTTATAAAGTTTGGAGAGGGAGTGCATTTGAAAAATTAGATAAGAAAGTGAATATTAATTAAATTGAGAAGAGCCACAATAAATGACAAGATTCTTAAAAGTTTGTAAATGCTATAAACATCACAAATGGCAGAAATACAGTATTTTAAAAATTAAATAACTCCCTGGCCCATATTTGTTTTCCTTCCACATTTCTTGGCTGCATGTTCTTTGATTGCTTCTTCATATGACAATGGTTTTGTATTACCATATTCTACAGAGAAAATAGGAAAAAAATTCAGTCTTCAGCATATCTGATGGAAATGTGTCTTTTATTGTTGACAGTTTAGAAATTTCCCTTTGCTCTTCAAATTAAATATTGCTA